TGAGATATGTCAAAGGAACTCAAAGTGATGGTATTTTCTATTCAGCTAATTGTCCTGTGAAGCTGGTAGGATACACGGACAGTGACTGGGCTGGTGATGTTGATAGTGCAAAAAGTACTTCTGGCTATGCATTTCATATTGGTTCTGGAGTGATTTCTTGGTCATCAAAGAAGCAGCAAGTTGTAGCCCTTTCATCTACTGAAGCAGAGTATATTGCAGCCACAAATTCTGCTACACAGGCAGTATGGTTGCGCCAATTACTTGGTGATCTTCATCATGAACAGAAAAGCCCCACAACAATTTATTGTGACAATAATTCAGCGATTGCATTGGCAAGGAATCCTGTTTTTCATGGGAGGACTAAACATATACCTGTGAAGTTCCACTACATTCGGGATTTGGTAAATGACAAGGTGGTTGAAGTCCAATATTGTCCAACTGGAGAACAGATTGCAGATATATTTACAAAGGGTCTCAAGATGGATGCGTTCATGAAGCTGAAGAAGATGATGGGAATGGAGAGCTATGATGAGCTTGGTTTAAGGGAGGCTGTTGAGAGTTAAACCAAGTCCACCGAATTCAAAGCCACTTTTAATACTTTATTCACTTTGTAAAAGCATGCCCATGCTTTAAGAATGACACTTGGGAGCTTACTTCTCTTTCTGAAGGAAAGACACCTATTGGAGTTAAATGGGTATACAAGACAAAGTACAAGCCAAATGGAGATGTGGATCGTTTCAAGGCAAGGTTAGTAGCTAAAGGCTACAAGCAAAAACCAGGTATTGATTATTTTGAGGTTTTTGCTCCTGTTGCTAGGCTTGATACTGTTAGAATGGTTATTTCTCTTGCTGCCCATAATGCTTGGAAGATATTCCAAATGGATGTAAAATCTGCATTTTTGAATGGAACTTTGGAAGAAGAGGTTTATCTTGAGCAACCAGCAGGTTATGTGAAAAAAGGGCAAGATGATATGGTGTATAAGCTGAAAAAGGCTTTGTATGGCCTTAAACAAGCTCCAAGGGCATGGTACACCAGAATTGATTCTTACTTCATGGAGCACAAGTTTCAAAGGTGTCTATATGAACATACTTTGTATGTCAAAAATAATCAGCAAGGGGATATTGTTATTGTCTGTCTGTATGTGGATGACTTGATAATTACAGGAAATAATATGAGATTGGTTGCAGAATTCAGGGAGGCTTTAGCATCTCAATTTGAGATGACTGATATGGGGTTGATGTGTTATTTTCTTGGTATTGAGGTGAAACAAACTGAGCAAGGGACTTTTATTTCTCAAAAGAAATATGCTGGTGACATCCTCAAACGTTTTAGAATGGAGTCATGCAAGCCAATTTCAACTCCAGTTCAAGAAAGATTGAAGCTGCTTATTCGTAGGCTGCAACTGGTTTCGTAAGTAACAGCCTAATTCGATTTAGGAAACAACAAAACAACAATTTAAGAATACAAGATTCACACAATAAAGTATTTCTTACATTCTGAATTTCCAGCTGAGAAACTGGGAATAACTAGAAGTACTAGTTATTATGAATATTTCGAATTAAATAGAATAAAATATTATTTAAAAACCCACAAATCATGTCGGTGTTAATAAATTAACGATGTTTTAAATTATAATAAACGACGTAATTTTTGAACAATCGTCGTTTAAAGTTAAAACCATGGCCATTTTTACATAGGAAAAAAATAGAATTAAAAAAAAACATTAAGTAGGAAACCTTACCTCGCTAAGAACCGCATGCTAATGCTTTTCTTAACAAAGAAATCATATAAATCTGTGAGTCGTTCAGGAAACATTGAAGTAAGCTCTTCTTCTACTTCATGTGTTTTCTAGAAGAAGAAAAAAATGATATGTTAAGATACTTTCTATCTATTATATTTGTATTAACAAATTTACAAAGTAAATAATGTTACATCATACCAATGCCAACTTTTCACCGATATGATTGATTACGTAGTTTGAGTAAGCAAGCAATCCCACGACATCATCTCCATAATTAACATGTCCATACGTTTTGTCCTCGTAAATTTCCTGAAAAGCCCAAGAATAATTGGATTTGTCCAAGTTTTCCCTGATATTAATAAACCTCGAGTAGGATGTAGTGTAGTCCTCTTTCCATTTTGGCACATGTTGAAGTCTTAAGAAGGCTTCGACCAAAAAAAAAAAGAAGTCTTAAGAAGGCATGCATAGGGAAATAGAATCTCTCATCACATGACATGAGTAGTGGGTGATGCCATAATTCCATAAAATCCACACTACAAATAAAAATAAAAATATTCCATTAAAAAAATAGTAATAAAAGGAAAAAAGAGCAAGAAAGAGTTAGTTAAATTGTTTCCTTACCCATGGTTAGCCATTTTATAAAAGTGGTTTAGCTCCCTTTTATTGTTATCATTCCCAAGTATGTCTCGAACCATGGATATGAATTGCGTCTTACACTTTCTTCTCATGATAGGTCCACTATCAGGATTTAAAATACTATCCTTCCGAACTCGATCATCAACGATATTTATGTGTCGAATATCCCAATGGCAATATTGATCGTAGAGCATGAATTCGGCAAATAGCTCAATAATGTCACTGTGAAAAAGAATAAAAATAGTACACGTTAATGACGTATAGAATTATATATTGGAACTATAAGAAAAAGAAAAAGAAACAAAAAAAGAGATAGGTGTACAATTGTTAGGATACTAACCGAATAATTCTGCGGTACTTGTACACAACACGATTGTCCTTCCATACAACATCATTACTACGGATGAGATCAGCTAATGATGGCATTTTCTATACTACAAACTTGGCGCTCTTGGCTCTTTATTTCTGTGTACCGTCTCTTTCTTTTTCACTTTCAGGGTTTATTTCACAGCCTCAAAGTCCTATTTATATACATGCAAACATGACTTTCCCCCAAAAAAGAGGAAACGAAGTCCTATTTCCCTTGGGGTTGAAGTGTCGGGCCTGGGCCCAGAGCCCATTGCCCAGAAAATTAAGTGGCGCAAATTCTTTGAATAAATTGGTCCATTACATATAAAGACATAAAAACTTTTAGTGTTTTTCATTCCGGAAAATCCGAGTCAAATTTTCGTTGTTTGCAGCGATGAGAGTTTGAATCCTTCAGATCAGTTCTCCGGGATTCTCATGTCGTGAGTATTCAAACACACACACTCTCTCACTCACTCTCTCTCTCTCTCTCTCTCTCTCTCTCCCTGATTTTTATTCGTAGGCTGCAACTGGTTTCGTAAGTAACAGCCTAATTCGATTTAGGAAACAACAAAACAACAATTTAAGAATACAAGATTCACACAATAAAGTATTTCTTACATTCTGAATTTCCAGCTGAGAAACTGGGAATAACTAGAAGTACTAGTTATTATGAATATTTCGAATTAAATAGAATAAAATATTATTTAAAAACCCACAAATCATGTCGGTGTTAATAAATTAACGATGTTTTAAATTATAATAAACGACGTAATTTTTGAACAATCGTCGTTTAAAGTTAAAACCATGGCCATTTTTACACAGAAAACGACGTACAAACCATTTTCCACGACCTAAACGTGTATAATGTAATTAATACACGTCGGTATATTAAAAAAAACGACGTGTTAAATAATATACCATGACGCGAGAGATTAATTTATCGACTTATTATTTTGGAGCATACTACGACGGTACCTACAA